TTTCTGAATGCTACAAATATATATATATATATATAGATTTATATACAAATTTGTTTGACAGCTACATCTGGAGAAACGGCTAGACCGAATGGGCTGACATTTTTCGAGGGAACCCTTGGCTCTTGAGTACCTTGGGGATAACAAAGGCTTTTAAAATCTATTTTTTTCAAATTCGGTTTAAAAATTCAACGGGCAACGCTGGGCCCTTCAGCTAGAACTAAAGAAAGATGATAAATATATTTGTTCTATTAGAATACAGAGGAAACAGATAACAATGTACAGGATAAACAGACTACTCATTATCCTGCCACTAGGTAGGTCTCAATCAGGGGAGGGGGGAAATGCAGATATCTTGTAATCATCAACCACCCAGAAAAGGGGGGACACATTAAATTTAATTTTTGACAACGGGTCCCTGAAATGGTAGTTTAAATTTAGTTCAGTGAAAATATTTTTTTTCTTCCAGCAAACATGTAAAAGAGGGCAGTGCATATTCCATTCCACCCCTCACTATGGCATAAGAATGGCCAAAATATCTTTATATAAGGGGTAAACTATTTGCCGGTCGGGGGNTTATTATTATTATTATTATTATTATTATTATTATTATTATTATTATTATTATTATATTTTAGATTTAGATTTTAGATTTTAGATTTTAGATTTTCAAATTATTAATAATAATTATTATTATTATTATTATTTTTATTATTATAACAATTATTATTATTATTATTATTATTATTATTATTATTATTATTATTATTATTATTATTATTGTTATTATTATTCTTGAAACTAAAAACTTTATAGGAAAGGAGACAGTTCTACTCTAGAGCAATGATTAAAACAACTCTTCTTTCAATTACAATAGGAAAAAACTTTCATACAAAACATTATCCTTTCTTAAAAGGACAGATCGGCTATTTAAGGTAGTTGAACTGACAATGCAGTGTTGTGGACAAATTCTTTAGGATTCATTTGAGACAAATAAAACTTTTAAAAGATTTGTAAATCCTGAGTTTGAGTGCAAGGTCGATGTTCAAAATCGTACTTTTAGGTGGATACGTTTAATGAATTGTTTTTTTTTATTATTATTAAATAACGACGACAAAAAATGTAAACAAAATTCTACAGTAAACTAATTAGTTGTTTAGGAACAGGTGGAGAAAATGAAAATTAATCTTATCATGGAAAATAAGTAATCTTATTCAATTATTAGTTTCAATAAACTCTGATTAATCACAAATATTTTCTGCAGATTTTCTGGAATTTTTATTGAAAAGAACACATTTGAAGAATTTGTAGAAATCAGCGAACAAATTCATAGAAAATAAGAAATTCATTATTATGATGAAAACGAAATAATTGATTTATAACATTGATAACATTGATTTATTGACAATTTCTTTTGAGAAATAAGTTCCTAAAACATCTAATTAGTTTAATGTATAATTTGACTTTATTTTTCGTGGGCGTTATTTAATAATTTTTAAAAACCCGATTCTGAAAACGTACCAACCCAAGTTCATGATTTTGAACGTCGATTATGCACTCGAACTATGTAATTATACATCGTGGAAACTTTTTATATGTCTCAAATGAATCCTAAAGAATTTGTCCACAACCTGCACACTCAGTTTTAACTACTTTACATTGCCGGTCGGTCCCTTTAATGGTTTAAATAAATAAATTCTTCAGTTTAATAACCATTCACAAATAACAGTTAAAAGGACTGTAAGCCTAATTTCAATGGACCTTTAATGCATAGATAGCAATGGCAGATTCACAACGGTACCCTTGAAACCCTTGTCTGGTCAATAATGTGGAAACTATTGTTTTTCTAAAAGTTTTAAATTCTGATGATTTTTTTACCTGCAGTAGAAATGCACCAGTCACTTTAGGAAAGATACCACAGTTAAACATGAGCAGGTTTCAAAATCATAATCAGTGATATCGAATTCATACTTGATCAGACAATGCTTGTAAGGGTACCCTTGTGAATCGGTCATTGCCATCTATGCATGGAGGGTCATTTAAAACTATGCAAACAGTCACCCTAAATAAAGTTCTAAACGGTTATATTTTTATCTCTGAAGAAAATTAAGAAATCTCCAAACATTTCTGAAGACATCCGGAAATCTATAAATGTTCTTAACTGTTTTAATATTTGGTTTTTTTCATTTCTAATTTATTATATTTTTTTAAGTATAAAATTTAAAGTCTTGTGGGTATGTTATGAGGTTTAGAAATTAAATTCTAAAAAGTAATCAGTTTTCTAAAGACATTGAGTAAAATGCTACTGAACAATTTGTTATCTTTGAATTTAGACAATTGTAACGCTTTTTTTTCCTGAGTAAAGAGTTTCAAAGGGAATTTTTTTTTTAAGGATTTATAATTTATGATTTTAGTTGCAGCGCACCTTTTTTATGTTTTTATTTACTAGACTTCCCTCCTCTAAAAAATTCCAATTTCGCCTTTAAATGAAAGGTTGTATTTTCTAGTTGTAGTATTCCTCATAACAAATCTTCCTTACATCATTCACGAGTTCTTCATTTACGGGGTAATATATTTTCATCTTTCTCATTCATGCTATTTTGTAAGGGACCTTTCATTTATACAGAGGCACGTCTGATTCACCATGATACCCCTTAAACATTGGTCCAGACAATGATCAGGTAGATACCCTCATTCGCATTGTTGAAGATTGCGTGCAGAGCCCGAAATTTAAAACAGTATCGTTGAACGAAACCTTCAAGTTTCCTTTTTGGGGTCTTAACATTTGTTTAGATTATAATTTAAGAGATTCGAAAAAAATGGAATAAATTAAGAAACTAAATAGCATAATATTTCATAACAAAAATATTGATACCCACAAAACTGCCTAAACCCATCCGTGAAACCCGGGTTTTTCATAACAATACCTTGTCTTAAGTTTTGGGCTCAGAGCCCGATATTTAAAAGACTATCATTGAATTAAACTCCCTAGTTTCCATTCCGGGCCGGGTCTTAAACTTTAAGCAGATTTTAATTTAAAAGATTTGAAAAAAGGAAAATATGAAGAAACTAAATAATATAATATTTCATAACAAAAATATTGATATCCACAAAACTGCCTAAACCCATCCGTGAAACCCGGGTTTTCCATAACGACACCCTGTCTTAAGTTTTGGGCTCCAGGGAGACTCGGAGTTATGTTGTACATGTACTGTACAGTGTACACTCCGTGCAATAGTGTACACCACTGCAGCTTTTTGGCATTTAATTTCCCGCTTAATCAATAATAATATCTTAGAAATAATTGATGAAACACAGGTTCAAAGGGTAGTTTTGTAAATCAGACATGCCGCTCTATAAATGGTAGGTCACCTGAAATTGCGCCTGAAATTCCTTTCAGTACTGATGAGGTCATAAGAAGTCAATTACCCGTTGATAATTTAAGCAATTATAGAAATTTAATTGCCAGTCCTAAAACCAGCCCGCTTAAAGTTAAACAAAGAAAAGAAATTGCTTACACTCTAATAAAAGAATACTAAAAAAATTAGATTTTTTTTAAAGGAAATCATTTCATTCTAAATTTTTAAGATTCAACGTGCAGCGACGGACACTATTTAGTATTTACACAATAGTACATGCTGTGGAAAATATCAAATATCTCTGTATACAGATGTCTGTTTAATGGTCGTGTACTCCAGTGTACACAATAGTACATGCTGTGGAAAATATCAAATATCTATCTCTGGTTGTTATATGATTTTTGAATGTTCACAAGAATTTTAGTTTTTGGACATTAGAGATCGGAGATATAGAGAAGATGGTGCGCCGTTGTTATCCCCCAAGTAGAGTAGATCCATAGAGAAGTAAGGGTAAAACTATTTCATCGAAAACTTCCAATCCGTTTTGCACTATAAAAATATCGGACAGGAGTAAATGAGAAGCAACATTTGTAAAAGGAAAAAAAATTTTGAATTAAAATTTATTTAGTAATTTGTAATTTTAAAAAAATGTGATCATTTAAATTTTTTGTTGATATAAGTATCCAAAAGATGCGTTTTAAACCTCTGCAAACCATCCATTTGTTCGCTTTTGAATATTTAAAAGTTGTTTTCTGTGGGGCAAAAAAATAGTTTTTTTTGATACTCTACAAGTACCTTTCCAAAAACCGGGTTTTTTATATATTTATTTTTTTATTTTTTATTTAGCAATATTCTTTATAATAATTCTATAATAGCAGATGCAAATATTTTGTCATTTCTATATTTCTTGTTATCCATTTTCTTCTTTTTTCATCATAATTCGGCTAATTTTGAAAAACATAAAATAATTGGGACATCCTAGCAGTAACCAGGCTGCTAGCTAGAACTAGGTTGAGAGGGTCCTGCTTTCCTATTTATTTACACAGTTAGTTCATGATTTGATGTGTTTTTTTTAGCTGACTCATTACTGATTCGATTTTGTGATTCGAGTTGTGGAGCAGGAAGGAAAGAGATAAGAAAATTTGAAGGAGGAAGAGTATGATGGATTTCAGTAGAAGATCCCTTCTTTCTTTCTTTTAAGTCTTTCCAACTTATGTAGAAATAACTGCACCGCCTGAAAGCCCCATCAAGTGGAATATTTCACAGTAGTCCAGGCCTCCATCTGGCTGAGTAAAAAAGGAGTATGATTGTGCATGGCTTCTATCAGGGGTCATACTTCTGTGTTACTTCTTTTAGCTGAGATGTTAAGCCAGAGAAAAGCTCAAGATGGAGTACATGTTTCCTAGAGATAGAAAGGGAAGAGAGAGAAATGAAACCCACACTCCTCCACTTTTAATTCCTATGTTTTGCTACTCCCCTAGGATGAGTCATGAGCATCTCTACGTAATGCTTTTCTTAACTGTGAAGCCGGGAGCTACTATGGGGAGGCCCATTCCCTGTCAAGAGCAGAGAGCAACTGGGGTTTTGCTTATAGTTTGCTTAATTTTGAAGAGATCGTTCTAGTTCTAATTTCAAGGGACCCTCCATTTAAAGAGGGGTATGCTCGATTTGCAACGGTAACCTTGAATGTGGAAGAAAGCGCATTTTAATGCTTTAAAAGGTGTTTAATTTTGACATCTTTCACATGTTTTACTGCAATAGAAATTTGTAGAGGAACCACAATTGAAAATTATCAGTTTTCAAAAGTATAAACATGATATCTAATTCACATACATCGTAAAATTGTTTGAGGGGTATCGTTGTGAATCGTACATGCCACTCGATAGATGGATGTTCACTTGAAATTATGTTAGAACTGCAGTACCTTTAAAATTGTTTGAAGAATAAGGAAAGTGGTAGATAAAGATAATACATGCGGTTTAAAAATTATATTTTTAGAGTGGAAAACGGATTATTTCATCTTTTATAACAAAAGGTTATAATTGTTCATATATTTGATTGAGAGCTATTCAACAAGTTTGAAAAAACTTCTTAATAAAATCCCATCTTGCGATTAAGATTAGGCTTTTGTTTTGACTGGAAAAAAAAACTAAATTAAGGATACAAACAAGGGTTCCATTATAGTATAAAACAGACGTTTTAATAACGGCAAAAAGTGTGCTTTGATCTGTCAAAACTAGAATTTGTTTAAAGGAAGTGACCGGCTATGTAAGGTAGTTGAACTGAGTATGCAGTATTGTGGAAAACTTCTTTCGGGTTCATTTGAGACATAAAAAACTTTTTAAAGATCTGTAAATCCTGAGTTTGAGCGCATATTCAACGTTCAAAACTCCTACTTTGGGGGTGGATACGTTTTCAGAATTAGTTTTTTAAAATTATTTAAATAGTTTTTTTTTAATTGGCAAAAAACCATAAAATGTCAGTATTTTTTGGATTTTCGAAATCTATTGCGGTTACGGTTTTTATCGGATGAGGTTATAGAGACGGACAGAGAAACTGAAAGATAGTTGATAGTTGATCAATATAGTAGAGACGGATGTGGTTATAGAGACGGACAGAGAAACTGACAGATAATTGATAGTTAACCAATATAATAGAGACAGATGAGGTTACAGAGACGGACAGAGAAACTGACAGATAATTGATAGTTAACCAATATAATAGAGACGGATGAGGTTAGAGACAGACAGTGAAACTGACAGATAATTGATAGTTAACCAATATAATAGAGACAGATGAGGTTATAGAGACGGACAGAGAAACTGACAGATAGTTGATAGTTAACCAATATAATAGAGACGGATGAGGTTATAGAGACGGACAGAGAAACTGACTGATAGTTGATAGTTAACCAATATAATAGAGACGGATGAGGTTAGAGACAGACAGTGAAACTGACGGCCAAAAAACAGAATGGGGCGCTCAAATTTGATCTTCAAAGTTTTATTTAAAGATATATTAAATTGTTTTTTTCAGTTTTGATAGATCACACACTCCTGTAATATTTCATCAAACTTTGATGATTCCTAAAATTAGTTTATTCTATAAATGAAAATGAAAATGAAATTGAAAACTATTTACAATATTTTTTACGAAAACTGCTCTGGGATGAAATTTAATGAACGTAAAGTAGTTAAACTACATAGACTAAGTGTAACCATAGTGTACAAGAGAAGTGGTTTAACTATGTCTATGTAGTTCAACTTGTTGTCGCTATTCAAGAAAATTATTTTTCTGATATTTTTTTCTTAATAATATTGTTTCTCCTTTGAATTAAATGAGGATTTCTAGGTATAAGTAACCGGATATGATATCCAGAAGAAAAATCATTGATAAAAATTTTCCAAAAACTTTGCTTCAAAGTACTTTTATTAATTTCAAACTTTTTTACAGTTGTTTTGTACTTTATAGATTTGTTTGTTTCCTTTTACCTAATTTAATGGATTTAATCTGTTTTTATTATAAAATATTTTATAAAATAATTCTAAAACGAATTTTCTGATGACAAATTAAATTAGAATTAAATGTCAATTTCAACAAAAAAACTTGACATTCAAACGAATTGAAAACCCACATCCTAAACATGTAACTGGATTATATTTCATCTTGTTTAGGGTATTTTCGGAATATCGATTGTTTCTAACTCAGCTTTAAACCCGTTTATATTCCTCCTCTTCCACAGTGGTTCATCAAGGTGACATTGATATTATTAGCACAGTGGATATTTAAGGTGCATTTATATTTTTATGACAGTAGTTCGTCAAAGTGGCATTTATATTATCACAACAGTGGTTCATCAAGGGGACTTTATATTATCACAACAGTGGTTCATCAAGGGGACTTCTATATTATCACAACAGTGGTTCATCTAGTGGACTTTTCAGCAGAGTTGTGATTTAATGCAATATTTAAATTTTTAAGTTAACATTTTTATTTTTACCACAGTGGTTCATTAAGGTGAATATTTATTATTAGCACAGTGGTTATTCATTTATTCATTTAAAATCTGCCACAAAAGATTATATACGTACATAAAGGTTATATATAATCCCAATTTGTATTTTGCTTATTGCATTTAAACTGTTTCTTTTTTTACAAAAAAAAAGTAATCAGAGAGAGACATAAAAATAGATATTATATAAATGTTCACTGTAAATTATTAAAAAATATATTTCTTAATTTGATGTTAAATTAACGTCATTAAACGTTGCAAAAATGCAATTTTTGACAGAGAAAAAATTAAATCAAAACAACGTCACATAACGCCATCAAACATTTAGTGTTTTAAAATTTCAATTTTGCTATATTTTCCATTTCAAATAGATAAGTTTAGTAATTTTTGGCATGACTATAAAGAAAAAATGGTTGTCGTGATGATACAGGGTGTCCCAATAAACATGGGAATTCAGAGACGAATTCAAATCGTCTTTGTAAAGAATTAGCGTTGTGTTACCAAATTGTAATGGTCAAAATAATGTTAAGGTCTTCTAGAGTATATTTCATGTAAACGGTAAAAGACTGTTTTGTTATTCTGCAAAACGTTGTATGATGTTCTGTAACATTGCAGCACGATAAACAGTGAAGAGAAACAACTGTTCTGTGTTGTATACACGGATTTCTTATATTATTAAGTACACCACAGTATGCAATAAAAACATAAACAAATTATGAACTCTAGCAGACGGATTAAAGCTTTCCTATTAGGGATCACCATTCTAAATAAAAAAAATCAGTTACAAAGACGATATCAAAATCGTCGTTGAATTCCCATGTTTATTGGGACATCCCGGATTTGACCTAAAAAACGTAAAATTTTTTTTAAAAATTAGAAAACGTCTTGAAAAATATTTCTGTCAAATGATGTCAAAGTGATGTCATTTGATATAAGCGATAAAGCCAGCGACGTCTCTCTCTTACAGGGTATGAGTTGTCTGCTACAAGCTATTTATGCAGGAGGTTTCTACGGTCTTCCTGCCAGCGAATCTAAAATTATTTTTGGTTTAAGTCTAGGCATTAAAAAACTAAATTTTTCTAATTAGACTTGACAGCTGTACATCCCGTTGTTTTCCTGGTTCTAGCACAATTAGTAGCAGGTTAGTATTTAGTTTAGTGTTTAGTTCAGTCTAAGCAAGCTGTCCGAGACAGCTTGCTTAGATGGAACGTAGATGTGGTATCAAAAAGTTTGATACCACATCTACTGTTCTCAATCTAAACTCTAAGAAAAGCCCAGGGAACACCTATAGTGGGCGACCAAAATTGGGAATTTTTTATCTAAATTCGGCGGATTTTCTTTAGCATGCATAGAATATTGTCATGTTAGTCCTTTCTTAACCAGTTGAAGAATATTGTCATGTTAATCCTTTCTTAACCAGTGGAAGAATATTGTCATGTTAATCCTTTCTTAACCAATGGAATAATGTTGTCATGTTAATCCTTTCTTAACCAATGGAAGAATATTGTCATGTTAATCCTTTCTTAACCAATGGAAGAATATTGTCATGTTAATCCTTTCTGTTTTAGGATGCAGGGATTCAGAGTTCAGTTCAGGAAAATCAAACTTCAAAATTTTTGTTATTTAAGTTTAACTGTAATTTAGGAACCCAGCTTTGCCTAGAAAATAAGTTTTCCCTTTTAATGTCAACTTATACAGACTCAACTGGTAAACTATGCGAAGAACATTTCAGTGGTTCAAAATTTGAAGCAAATCAGTCAAGGGGTTTCAAGAGTTATGATCGAAAATCCAGAGATTATATTTTATATTTATAGATAGGAGAGTAAAACAGTAGAACAGTATATATTAGACCACATTTAACTTCCTTAAAAATAAAAATGTCGATACCAGATTTGCAGTCAAATTTAACTTTTTTAATTTCACAGTTATTGGCCCTTTGCAAAGTACATCGACTTACGACTGTAAGTTTTTTAGTTTTATGTTACAGACATTTTCATTATGGCACTATAACTAGGGAACCCGGTGTTGTCAAATGCCCAGGTTACTAATAATTACTCCCACCACTCCACTTAGAATGTCAAAACCAAGCTAAGAACATTCCAGTGGTTCTTCCGAGACGGGGGAAAAAGGATTTAATAAACAATGCAAAACCAAGTAAATTTTAAATTGTATACTTTTAATCAATACAAAGAAGAATGATTTTGCAGTGTTCTGCGTAGAAACCAGGATCCAACAACTGTCATTGATGACTTCGAACCCAATCAAAATCATGTGTGAACCGGAAGTTTACGCAGCAAGTGTACACAGAATAGAGAGTCGTCAGAACGGCTCAAGTGCATGTAGCTTATTGGATTGTTCGTTTGATATCATGGATTGCTAGATATTTTAGACGAGTTCTCTTAAAGGGTTTTCAGCAAACAAAAACTTCTACGAAAATATGCGAAATTTCGCAAAAATACATTTTGATAAAAGAACCGAAAACGATGCCGAATTTCGCTAAAAAAAATGCAACTACATTGCGAAAAATTGCAACAAAAGATGCGAAAATGAATTTTGCGAAAGGAAGCGAAAACGATTTGGAACCCTATAGACCTGTCTAGACATCTAAACCCTAGTTAAGGCCCTAAGTGAGCGTGTGAAATTTTACGAATTTTACTAATTCTAATTAATTCTACAAATTCTACAAATTCTACAAATTCAACAAATTCTACAAATTTTTCAAATTTTTCAAATTCTTCAAATTTTTCAAATTCTACAAATTTTACTAAATCTGCATAGTGTCCAAATTAATTTATGGAATTTATTATTCTCAACAATTGTGTGCCAAGATGTGATTCTCAAAGAGACTATAACGTTGTAATTTCAATTCTTCATTAAAAGAGGGGTATTGACTGATTCACATCAGTTTATTCGTTTAACCTTTATCTGATCAATGAAGAGATGAAGACATATTCGTTTTTCTTGATCCTATACAAAGCAATTTACAGTGTACAACCTACAGTTAAACTCCAAATATTGAATACATCGGAAGAATTTATCAAATGTCGTTTTCTAAATCTTCTGATACTGGAATGCCGCAAATATTTAGTTTTTTTTGATTAAATAAACCGAACTAACCAGAGTGAGCAGCATTCGGTTTCTTCTATTTGAAATCAAACTTGTTTTCAATAATCATTTACTTTACGGATTTGTTTATGTTATACATTTTCATTCAAAATACGTATGCCAACAAAAAAGTATAAAATAAAAAAGGCTAACAAATTATGTTTAATGGGTCAAATTGTGATCGAAAGTCACAGTTTTCTGGAATATTGACAGAACCGCTAAATCCACGTGAGCTCTTTAAAGATGTCCCCACAGTCCCCGCATATTTCATGGCTATTCATTTAATTCTCATTCAAAAAAAATATTACTTTTAACAAAGAAATTTTTATATTGATTTTATAATAACCTACTCTCATTGGCAAAACCCATAAAAAAATGTTCAAGGCGACATTTGATAAATTATTCCGATGTATTTATTGAATATTTACGGTTTAACTGTATATAAATGGATCCACTTGAAATTATGTAATATGTATGTACATATATTCATTATACAGACCTTTAAATGATTCATGATGTAAAGATTGTTAAATAACTCATAGAAGTGTAAAGCGAATTTAAATCGGAACAACTGTTAGATAAGATATGATAAGATAAAGTGTATTGCTAAAATTCATGTATCTATGGAGTTTACAAGTACAAATAGTAGTAGTAGTAGTACAAGTAGAAAGCAATTAGCTCTTGGCTGTTTTGATTGGTTTTTTTCCACCTAATTTTAGTAAAAATAACAAACCATTTCAATTAAATAGATTTAAGGAGAACTATTAAAGATCAGGGTGCGATTTTATCTTATGCAAAATAGTTTATACATAAATAGAATAACTAGAATTTAAGTAATTTTCTGACATGTATACACAACAAATATCAAAGCATATCAAAACATATCTAATTAGTTTTACATGAATTGCAATTCGGTTTATAACACATTGTAATGTAATTTTCAAAAAGAGAATTTAGTAGTCTATTTTTAAATATACTTAGAGAGTTGCTTCTGTTATTCCACATCTTAAGAAGAGAGCTTGATGATAAATACCGTAATGAGCACATTTTGAGAATGTCAAGTTGATAGTTAAGAGATCTTTCAAAGTTTCCAAGCTTTTTAAAAATATTTTCAAAAGATGCAGGAAGAAGTTTATGTGTATATTTATACATAAATATAGCTTGGTTAAAATCTACCAGATCATTAATCGTTTCTGTAAAATGTGAATTTGTTTCCTTTCCGAACATTTGTTTCTTCCCCAGGCTGAAATTCCATATTCTATAAATGATCGAAATAAAGAGTTGTAAATGGTTAGTTTAATATTACTAGGAAGAATATTTTTTACACTTGACACTGTTTAACATTGCTCAGTTATTCACTTCAAAAGTTAAAACTTCATCATATCGAAGTTCACTAAAAATCTGTAAACTGTAATCCGAAACTTTTTCAACATTTTATAACTTGGAAGTTATTATACCTGAATGATCTGATAAAATACCACACAAGTCGAATATAAATAATTACTTTTATAAAAATCGAGCGTTCTAATTTAATATCAAAACATATTTGAGACATATGCTGTAAATAACCATGTAGAACTTATGTAAACTTTATGTAAAACCACATTTTTTCTGAATTCAAAGGTAATCAAAAAATGTCTAAAATGAATAAAATAATTTTTTATAAAACATTTTTTACCCTCTATAAGCAATATTTTTGATCAAACTCTGGATACTATAACTGTTCGGCAACTTTTCAAGTTTAACGCAAAAGTGTTATTTTTACATGCTGCAACTGTAGGGATGTTAACTTTTTCATTATTGAAAAACGATCGTTTCGTTATGAAAACTACGACGAAAAACCGAAAGCGAAACGATCGTTTTTAAAAACGATCGTTGTTATAAAAAGTTGGTTTTTTGAAAACTACCATTTTTAAAACAATTATTTTTCAAAACGATCGTTTTCAAAATGATTGTTTTTATAAAACTCGTCGTGTCGTTAACGATCGTTAACGACAAACCTTCGTTCTTTTTTAACCTGCGGGAAATCCAAGTCGAAGTTGACTCCAAATCTCTGTCTTCCTTCCCGTTAAATTACGAAAATTTCTTTCATGTTATATTTCAAGTTTAAAACTTATAATCCTAGCTTCTTTTTTCTGAAGAGCTAATTATATTCGTTGAATTTTAAATGTCACAAAAAAGATATTTTTTCTACGAGACTGAAGCGCAAACTGAAAATTAGAAAAGCTACTAATGATGCATAAAGAAAACTAATATATACACTTTTTTACATTTAAAAAAAACCTTCTGTTATATAGAACATAATTAAAAATGACAACTAAATTAAACGAAAGCCAAAATTTCAAATTATTATATATTGATGTAAAAATTGTGCAGTTTTCAAGTAAAAAAAACATTTTGGTGTTAAGTCTTCCAGAGCGCGTCCCACCCCTTTTCTAGTATTTTTTCTGTGCCCCAGCAGCCAGTTTTTGGGTTCGTCGTAAATTAAAAATTGAATGGATTTTTCTATCAGCATTGACGAAATTCTAAAACTTTATAATTTTTTATCCAAATTTCTTAAATTTTGGCTTTTTAAAAAGCTTTCCTTGGACCTTTAGAGTTACCACAAAAACGTTGGTCCAATCGGTTTAGTCTTTTTCACAAACATCGTACAGAAAAGCCAACTTTAAATATTTCCTCAAATTCTGAAAAAATAAGGAGACGTTTATATTTTACATACTAAATGCTTTAAAAGAATAATTATAAGATGTTTTAATCTTTTTAATATGTTCTAACCTAACCCCGCGGGGCCAAAGCATTAATTGAATTGGCAGAAGTTATGTTTCAATCAGGGAATAAAGATTATACTGTCATTCATCTAAAATGGTATTCTTATATTTTACATTTATTCTGTAATGAACTCATGGGTAGGGATGTTAACGTTTTCATTATTTTAATAAACGATCCTGTTATGAAAACAACGACGAAAACCCGAAAACGAAACGATCGTTTTATCGTTTTCATAAAATTTGTTGTTTCGATAACGATCGTTAACGAAGAGAGGAAACCGACCTGAAGGGCATCTGTACTTATCATTGAGTAGTTTTTAAGAAAATATCAAGAAGTTTTAGCTTCCCCACAACTGTTTAACTTCATGTATAACGTGACATTCAATAAAGTTGCATGTATTTTTTTCAAAAACTATCGTTTTTCTAAAAACGACAGTTTTTGTAAAGTTCGACCACCCTTCATTAACGACCCTGATCGTTAACGATCGTTAATTGTCAATACATTTTTTTCAAAAACGATAGTTTCTTAAAAAGCGATCGTTTTTTATAAAGCCATCGTTTTTTAAAAAGCAATCGTATAAAAAACGGTCGCAAATCGTTTTTATGAAAATGATCGTTATTCGTTTTCTAAAAGTTAAAAACGAGTTGGTCGTTTTTAAAAACGATCGTTCTTTTCCGAAAACGATTGAAAAAGGAATAACGATTAACAACCCTTGCAAGAACTTTTTATTTTTTAATTAAATTCAGCAAAGTCTTTAAAAAAGCTATATTTTTATTGTGATTTATTTTGACTTGAATTTAAAGACAAGTTATTTTTTTTCATTTTAAAGAAATATGCAGAAAATTCAGCAATTTAATGACACACCGGACAAATAAAAAAAGCTCATGAGACATTGAAAGGAAAAAAAACATTATTTGGATAAACTTATATACAGGGTTACCCACAAAGGATAAGACTTCAAAGACGATCTGAAAGATGATCACAAAGTCAATTGAAGACTTTTGTTTTGAAGCTAGACTTTTAATCACATGATTTTGTAAAGAAAGAAAACAATTATAATTGCAGGGAAAACTTAGGGAAAACAAACAGTTTAAATTCCGTATAGAAGTCCCTAAAGTAGTATCCCTAGTTGGTAACCTTGTATCCTACATTAGATAAATTCGTTATAGTCCACGGAATGTTTTTTAGCTTTTTTTAACATTTTTTTTTAAATTTTAAATTTCTTTTACGATATTCTTTAAGTATTTATATGATATCAGATGAAAATATTTTGATATTTCTATATTTCGTGTTCTTCATTTTCTTCTTGTTGGTACATCTTTGATTCATATTTCGACTAATTTTGAGAAAAAAAAAATTAGGACATCCTTGCAGTATGCCATGCTACTAGCTAGAAACTATGCTGAGAGAGAATTTTTTATCTGATTGTGTTTGTACTATTTGAAATAACAATGTAAACCAAAGGGATTCAAGAATTTGTCCCCGGGGGGGAGGGACTTTAAAAAGTAATATAATTAATTTACATCAACTGAAAAACTTCGCGTATATATTTATGTTGAGTTTATTTGTGTTGAAAGGTTAAAAATGTTCATAACTTAGTATAACGCTTTTGTAAATGTAAAGTTTAAAAAATTCTACAGTAGTAGGGGATTATATGAATACAATGAAGACGACTTTCGATTTCAATTTTGATTTTTATCAAACTGTTAAACAGCATGGATGCACATAAACAGAGAAGTCAAGAAAAGCTATCTATCGAAAAGGATTCTCTTTGATTACTTGTATACTTGAAATTCGAAAAAAAGCTTACTAAAAATCAAAACTTAAATAAAAATCGTCTTTATTGTATTGATATATTCGCCTACCACTGTACCTAACGATTTATACTTTTGTTAGTTAACAAATGTTAACAATGTTCACATTTATATGTATGCTTTTAGAAAGTTGAATATTCGATAAAATAAACATTAAAGTTTCCATTACATTTCATACATTTTTGCTTCACTACATATTGTAAATATTGACATTTTTCATTAAAAGAATAAAAATATTTTTTTATTTTAAAATAAAAAATTTATTTCTGCGCTTTTTATTACAATTAAATGTTTACTGAAATATGTCTATTCCAATATTCTATTTATAAGAAACCAAATAAAACGTTTTTGTAAATTGTTGATATTTTGGCCAAAAAAATGAATCTCGTGCATATTTCATTTTTATTGAGAAGTGTGTGATTCATTTACCTTTTTAAAAATGCTTTAGATTTATAACCTGCAAATTTTAAACAGCATCTTTTATTGCATTTAATTAAAAAGTTTTTCAAAAAAAGAAATTATGCATGAAAAGGCATGATTGATGTAAAAAAGTTTAAAATTTGTCTTTTGAAGTTTGATCATGACGCCATCTATTTTTCAGGAAATAATTTCTAAACTGAAATCAATTGAATTATTTCTTAGAATATAACAATTCTAAATGCTAAAGCATATCGGTATTTAAACCATTATTTCTTTAAACAGATTTTATTACCTTTTTAACTTGTGAAGACAAGTGTTTCTTAAAATGTAAAATAAATGTAAATCTATTCTCTCAAGCATGATGAAAGATTGTTAACTCCACAATTACACATGAAAATCAATCTCACGAATAAGTTCAGAAGAGCAGAAAAACCCGTATTATGTTCATTTTTCAAGATAAATAATGTATAATAGTTTCATACCCATTAGATGCAGATTGCATATTGCATATACGTTATGTATTGTAACTATGTTTAATTAAAAACGTAAAATCAATTGATTTCTCTTTTATTTAGATAAGTGTTTGTCTGTCCGTTGATCTTTGTAATTGGTAAAAACTATGTTTTTTTTTATTTTTTAGACTAAATTCTTGAATTATATATAACAGAATTTAAAAAAAACTGAGATAGAAAATGTTCAAATGAGCAAGTATGCGTTGATTTAAAAAAATTGCCTGCTATGATAAATACGTAAAAATACGTAAATATACGTAAGTTCTTTACCCAAAAGTTGAGCATACGTATTTATACGTAAAAATACCTATTAATACGTATACCTATATAGAGACTTTGGTATTTTTAGGTTTTCGAGTTATTAGGATAACTTTCCGACCAACTGCAATTTATCGGACCTACACCAGCGCTGTTTATTTTTGTATTATTTGAGGGTTAGGATAGGTTGAGACAATTTCTGGGCCGAGCGCTGCGGCCAGGACAGGCTCGGGGGCCGAGTGCCGGGATAGGAAAGGCTAGGGGGCTTGCGCTGCGGCCACAAGGATCCATTTCGCAGCTGTAAAACCATGGTGCTAGTAGGTCGGATGTGCAAATATAGCGGATTTGTCGTAGGTCAGAAGTGGAGAAGAGCAGGTATGCGTATCCTCGTAGGTCGATAAACGCCACCTCTCTATCCCCCAATTCTTAAGTTTATCTCCTTCTCTATCCTCCTTTTCCTTCTTGTATTTATTCCTTCTCCTTCTCTATCCTCCTATTCCGCTTTGTAATTCTGCTTATTTCACATCTTCTTCTTTCTCTTCGATTTTTTTATCATTTAAAAAATAATTAGAAATGTTTGAAACCCTGTTTTGGTTTTTCCGTTTCCGTATCTGCGCAGTATAAGAAATTAAGCTAGTGCGCAAGAGATTTATGTTTATGCTTAAATGCCCCGGACGATTCTGAGTTTCAATCACACGTTTCAATTCGCTGAAGAAGGATATTGTTCTGTAAAGGAAATTGTAATCGACGAACCTGTAACTGAAACAACCTTGAATTTATTATGGTGCAGAAAAAGGTTTGTTGTTTTAAGTTTTTTTTTGCAAGATTAATATTCTCAATGTTTGTTTTTATGAGTTATCGGTAATCAGGTTTGCACTTACAGGATGTATTATTATGCACGGAAATCGCTCCGTCTAATTGTCATACAGAGGCGCAACTAGCACTTACGCTGGGGAGGGGGGCAAAATATTATTTTGTAATGGTCTGTGGAAGGGAGGTGGGGGCTTGCCTCCCTAAAGAATTTTTTTTACAGTTTGAAAATATCTTACTAGGACGCACCCGCACAATGTTCTCTAGATTTGGAACTAAGTATTGCCACAAAATCGAAAATTCGGGTCTGTCCTAGAGAGAAAACAAACAGTTTAAATTCCGTATAGAAGTCCCTAAAGTAGTATCCCTAGTTGGTAACCTTGTNCTTACTCTTCTGTACTATAAATCCTGACTCCTGTGAAACTGATCGCCAACCTTTCTTTTCATTCTGCTCTCAGGTGCTAGGGGGGCGTGCGCCCGGCTGCCCCCACCCTAGTTGCGTCACTGTTGTCATATTCAAAGGATAATGTAATTTCAGTCCTTAAATCGATTCTTTTTTTATGAATGTCAACTGGTTCTATCCTAGTATACAACTTGGCCCTATCCCTGGGTCGTACGCTCTTCCTCCTACTAATTTAGTACATGATCAATATGCAATATGGTCTTTCCTAGAGCGCCGTTGCTAGGACCTGCAACTGTATTAACTTAACCAACCCCTAAATGTACATTGATGTTGACGGGTAGGGTTAGGGATCAAGAACATCTCATGGCATTGACCACCTTTATTTAATGATATCTAATGATGATTAAATTACACGTATGATCATATTTATGATTCTTAAAAGGCTTAATCTTTGCTGAGAACCAACTTGCGACATTTTGTACATTTAACTTCTCAATCATGTTAAATAAACCATTTCTTTTTCAAGTTAAAGAAGGGAGGAAAGAGGGTCGCCGCTGCTCCCTTAGCGGTCAAGAAGCTGACCCAGAAGCGTGTCACCAATCCACTTTTCGAGAAGAGAGCAAAGAACTTCGGGATCGGACAAGATATTCAACCGAAGCGAGATCTTTCCAGATTTGTGAAATGGCCGAAGTAAGAATTTGGATATTTTACGTAAAGGGGGAATGATGTCCTGAAGTATTGAGGTATAATAAAATGCTAACGTTTCAAATTTTTTAAATTTAAAAGAACAAATTTCTTTTACACAATCTTATCTTCAATAATATCAATGTTAAAATATTTTGACTTTACTCTGTTAACATTTTACATGTTTCTCTTAAATGATGACAAAATTACACGTATGATCTAAATGATTATACAAAGGCTTAATCTTTGCTGATGAAAAAATAAATTAATCCTTGTGACAGATTTTGTGCGAGTTCATACGAAATTCATTATTTAGGTACGTACGACTTCAAAGACAGAAGGCGGTGCTTCAAACACGTTTGAAAGTTCCTCCCCCGGTTAATCAGTTCGCCACCACCCTGGATAAGCAGACAGGTTTAAGCTCGTTAGTTCTTAAGAATGCTGAAGAGCTTAAGCTCGTTAGTTCTTAAAGAATGATGAAGAGCATTGTTTAAGCTCGTTAGTTCTGAAAGAATGATGAAGAGCATTGTTTTAGCTCGTTAGTTCTTATAGAATGATGAAGAGCCCTGTATAAGCTCGTTAGTTCTAAAAGAATGATGAAGAGCACTGATTAAGCTCGTTAGTTCCTTAAGGAATGTTGAAGGGCGTATTTAAAACTTGTAATAATTCCATAGAAGTGCAGGTAAAACAAGAATTACGGAAGCTGTCTGGATATTTTCTCTGGCTTAAAAAACGTTTGACTTTTGACAATAATTAAATTTTAAACCCCTGTCTCATATTTTTAGTTGGAAATTCTTAGCTTAATGGATTGACTTTTATTGAATAGCTGGAGGTAATATTCCAGGCCATAATAATGGGATTTAAACATTTGGTTTTAAACAAGAATGTATGGGTTTCGGGGTTCATATTTTAAGATTTACCTTTCTTTAATCTGGTGAAGAAAAAAATTAATTCATTCTAGGAAGGCCATCTTTCTGACCTACCTGGTACTTTCTACACAACTTTCCCTCATTTCTTCAACGAATTGCAAAAATTGGCGAATATACAGAAACACTTGAGGCTCGACGCTCAAATAAGATAGAAATAAACTAATTTTCTTAAAAGAGGGGATTTATAGCCTAGGCTCTATTTTTTTCTGCATCCACATTTTCCTATTTTAAGCGACTCAGTTGTTCAAGCTGATGGACAAATACAGGCCTGAGACCAAAGAGGCCAAGGCATTGAGACTGAAGCAGAGAGCAGCGGATAAAGCCGAGGGCAAGGTTTGGAATATTTAATTTTTTGTTTAATTTCTTTGGAATTTATAATTGGTATTGCCAAGAATAGTGATGAGAGATCCATTTAATTTTGATGCGAATCGAGGTCCTGAACAGTCCGTTAAGATTTACCGAGTATTTTACAGAAAGGATATTAGAATTTTTCTTACGTTCAACTTATTTTTATGAAATCAGGACGTTTTTTTGATAAGCTTCTCTTAACAGTTCATTTGAGCCAAAGATTTTGTTTGCAGTTTTGGTCGATATTATTGTTGGGTAATTTTTGCGGATCCGGATCCAGGAAGCCAAAATGTTGGAGCCAACGGATCCGGATCCTAAGCACTTCACTAAGAATTTACTTGAAAGATCTAGTGTTTTACATGAATCCTGCTCATTCAAATATTACTAGTTACAGAGTTATTTTTTAAGCGAGTTTCCTTCAAACTATGTCGCAGCACAGAGAAACCCTAAATTAAAATTTCTTATTAATTTTAAAGAAACCTGCCATCCTAAATTAACAAACTTTGAAATCACTGTTAAATATTTTATCCTTTTTTAATTAACGGATTTCTTGGTTTATGACACACCCTGTAATTATTAAATTGATATAATTGTACTAATTATGATGATAAAACAAAGCGTCTGAATAATAACATGATTATTATCTGGCTTAATCTTTACTGAATAATGAAAATTATGCTAATGTATGGTTTGTTTATTAACGTGAAGAAAGTAAAATTTTGTTCCTTCAGGCTGATGCTCCCACTAAGCGTGCTCCAGTAGTCAGACATGGGATTAATACTGTTACCACTCTGGTTGAGAAGAAGAAAGCTCAGCTGGTTGTTATCGCCCATGATGTAGATCCCATCGAGGTAACCATTGTACTAGGATAGCTGTTCATCGTTACTCCTTTTAATTTTTGTCACGTTCTAAGTTCATTCTAGCGGTTTCATCGAACTGGGGTTCATTTTTTTGAGCTCTCGAAAGGTTAAAAACTAGCTGATCACTTAAATATTTAAAATTGATCTCCGCAAGTTCGTTTGTCTGATCATAACTCTAAAACCCCTTTGACCGATTTGCCTCAAATGGGTTAGGGAACTTTGGTTAACTAAAACCATTCAGAAATCGAAAATTTTTACAATTTCTTTTTTCATTAGTTCAAATTTGGGTTTGGACATATTTAATTTCTTTAGTTTTTGGTTGCAATTTTTCTTGGATCCGGATATTTTTGCGGATCCGGATCCAGGAAGCCAAAATCTTGTGGATCCAATGGATCATAAGCACTGGTCAAGGATCTATTTATTTTAGTAGATCTAGATCTAGACCATGATTATTTATTATAGATTTGTGATCATATTATTTTCTGAAGAAAATAATATTTTTAAATTTTTGTGCTAAAATTAAGAATCATGATTGTCATTCATTGTTAATGTAAGATCACATGAAATTTACATCTTATTTGGTTTTCCTGTAAAATTAAAAATTACTTCTTGTGAAATTTTAATCAGAGTGCTCAGCGTTGCCCAGATTTATATAGTCTTAGTCTTAGATTCAGCCTATCGAATCATTCAACATGTCTCTGAAAATTAATATAACTCTATGTTAGTTGGTTCTGTTCCTGCCTGCCCTATGTAGGAAGATGGGAGTACCCTACTGCATCGTGAAGAACAAGGCAAGGTTGGGTAGGGTTGCTAGAAGGAAAACTACCTCGTGTGTTGCACTGACTCAGGTAATTTTCCGTTCAGTAGCTGACGACAATTCAGCGGTGGTTTTAGCCGAAATTTTCCGTAGCTGTGGTTTCTTACAGATTAATTAAAATAGTTAGTTGACGCTTTCATTGTTGGATTTTGTATTCATTAAAAAAAATTCGTTTTTTTATTCAGTTTAATTTTATTCTTCTTAATCATAAAGAAAAGACTATTTCTTCTTAAAAGAGGAATAAGGAGAACTTGTAAAACTTTTAACCTGGACTCTATTTTTTACCTTAAATGAGTATTGCGTAACATTTTTTTATATTATTTTTCTACTAGTTTTTTTTTACTTTATTGGATGAAAAAAAAACAGGTCCAATTCATATTAGCTTTTAGTAGGAGGGCGTTTGGAATATCTGGCAACTCCTTAGGTCTGAATATCTTCAGGGCAGAGAACAGTCTCTTTATACTAGGAACACAAGATGTTCCTTAGCATCTGTATCTTTTTAGCATATGTGCGCCCCCTCCCTTTTCCCCTCACTCTTACATATCCTTACACCTTAATTTGTGAAGACTGAATTTGCTTAGTTGCAATGGGGAAAAGGGAGACTTCTCCCCCCCCTCTCTAGTTATTAATGGGGGTGGGGGGAGGGGTGTACGGTGGAGGTCTGAGTTAAGATTTGAGCAAGATAGAAACCTGAGACCCTGAGAATATTTTTAAATCAAAATAGGATATTTTTAAGAAAAAATAACGCTGTGTTTGAAAAATAAAAATGTGCTTGGATCCGGATCCGTGGATTCGCATTTTTTTGCGGATCCGGATCCAGAGAGCCAAAATAATGCGGATCCAGCGGATCCGGATCCGTATCCGGCCTAAGCACTGCTTGAAAGCATAGAAATTCAAGGAGTTAATTGCGACCAACATTAGTTTCATCATTTCTCTAAAATAAACAAGTTCTGGATTTTTTCAGAAATTACCACAATATACTCGTATGTATTCTTGTCTAATTAAAACTTGCACTGAGGACACGTGAAACAATTTCTTGAAATTTAAAAACCTTGTTTAAATATTTTAGGTTGATTCAGCTGACAGGGGAGCTCTCAGCAAGGTTGTCGAAACTGTAAAGGTGAACTACAACGAGCGTAGCGAGGAGATCAGGAAACATTGGGGAGGCGGCAGGTAAAACATGTAAAAATATAGTTGATAATATATATTTATTGTGACTAAAAACATGTAAAAATATAGTTGAGAATATATATTTATTGTGCCTAGATGTGAAATTCGAAGTTACCCTCCATGCCAAGATGGCACTGCCCAAGTGTGAAAATTTATAATTTCTCGGATTCATGCATTAGATATGCAGCACATGTCTTAGTTACTTTAGAAAGCGCAACTGAAAATATTCATACATGATAAAATAAAAAATAAAAATTAGTTTATACATGATCAAACACAGCTTGGTACCCCTTTGAATCGGGCATTGCCATCTTTGCATTGAGGGGAGTGCTTTAAACCATTAAACCTTGTTGCGGACCCGGATCCTGGATCCGCGTTGGAAAAAAATGGATCCGGATCCAGGTCATGATAATTAGTTATTAACATATTTAATTTTAATTATTTTCGCTTATTTTTATGCAAAACTTGATGAACCTTTTAGAGATCATGAAATTTTTACTGCCGTTCAGATTTTCAAAGTAAAGTGTTTTTCGCCTGTGGATCCGCATATTTTTACAACAAAAATATTTATATATATTTCAGTTTTTAAACTTCACACTTACTATACATCTGATGATAAAACTACAGCGTCTGAATAATATGATTTTTATCCGGCTTAATCTTTGCTGACAATACTATACCAACGCAGACGTTAATAAGGTCTATTTAAAACCTTAAATTTGTTTATTTCAGTTTGGGAAACAAGTCCGCAGCAAAGATTGCCAAGGTCGAGAAATTGAGACTGCGAGAGCTCGGCCAGAAGTTTTAAGATCTCCTTCAGCCGTGAATAACAAATCAGATTTTTGCGGATTTCTGATTGCTATGTAATGGAAGTTTTTATTTTGAGAATAATTTTGTAATAAAAACAAGAAAAAATAAATATATTCCATTATATTATCTCTTTAAGTCGGATAGTAGAAGCAAAAGGGGCAATTTCTGTTCATGTGCGTTCTTGAAACTAAAAACAATATTTTACACTAGGAATTATAATTTGAATTGGAAGAATTTGTTTTCATTTAGTCTATTGCTTTAATTGAGTCAAATGTCTGAATCTGAGAACGGGTTTATGACAGAGGAAATGTAAAATTCGGTGATGGTGATGGACCAAACCTCTCTGTAGAGTAAAAAAGATGTTGGTTCCAAATTTATTGAAAATATATTTCTGTCTTGGTTGACCCTCGTCAGTTCTTGAGATTGTTTTTTCACTAAGAATTGTAATTGAATGTCTTAAAATCTAAAACTGTCCTAACTTAATTTACCATGTGTTCATGAATTTAAATGATGTGGGTAAAATAAGAGGAATGTAATGTTCCAGAGCTGAAAACTTTAGAATGGATAAACTTTAATCCTGACTTCTTGATCCGAATATCCACTGCGGAAACTTTTCATTTTATAGTCCTTAATCCACTCTTTTTCTCTCTCCTTGGATAACAGTTAATTGTTTTCTCCAATGAGAATATTTCTGTTCTCTCATTGGTTGCCCGCTTTNGTACAGTCTTTGGCGGGGTTGGAACAGGCTTTCGCGGGGTTGGAACAGGCTTCTGCGGGGGTCGAACAGGGTTCTGCAAACTACCTGTGTTCGAACAGGCAATTGCGGGGTTCATGGCCGCATGGCCCCCCCTCCCTCCCCCACCCTTGTATGTGAGGGGAGCTGCATGTTTAATTCTTGTTGCCCCTCTGATTCTTCCAATTGCATTTTAAGCCCCTAGAGATTACACTGCCCATAGCGCATGCGTGAAAATCAGCTGATTCGCAGCATAACACAATAATAACAAATAAAATTTTGAATCTCTATTTCAAACCAATTAAACCCTGTGTTCTCATGTCTATATACCGGTGTGAATACCGCTTGTAAAGTTGTAAACTGTAAGTTGTTGTCACAGCCCTAAAGTGTCAACCGAAACTCTAATATTTTTCTTTGATGGTATGGTAATTAATACTGCAACTTTATTTACTTTATATGTTTTGGTCACCAACTGCAAGTATATTCAAATGGCAAGAAGGTAATAGATCTCTTCTTGCACCCATAATTTTCATTTCCTGAAGGCAAAAACGTTTAGATAGGTATCAAATGAATCCTAATATTTGATTGTAAAACATTGCACTCTCGGTTCAACTTTCATATCTAGCAAGTCACTCCATTTAATGATCAATTTTCATATAATTTTCGCCACATCCCACTTTTTTTTCCCAAATGTTATAAATAGATTTATTAACGTTCTGATTTCCAATTTAGGAATTTCTTTTGGCTTAAGAAAATCTTTGTTCAGTTTTTAAATGTTAAAATTGACCAGATGTTCCAGTATTTAATTTTTATTTGCATAAAGTCAGTACATGGACAGAGAGGACAGAAAAGAAGATTATTGAAAAAAATGATTAACTATTATTAAAAACATGTACCTAAAAATAACTAGTTGCTCACAAATTGTAATTTGTAAAAATATGAAAGCAAAAAATAATAAATTTTTAAAATCTTTTTTACAATTGCAAATGTATTTTTAGTCTAATTTAAAAACTATATTGTAGTTACGAGGACGAGATATCTCTGCTGGATAGCTTACAGTGGGAGCAAAATCTTCCAAGGTATTTTTTTCAGGGGTGTATATTTTCCTAACCCCATCCCCATTCCATTTCATAAAATCATTTACTTTCCCCAGAAGTTATTTATTGGGGGTTTTTCTCTGAATTGGAGAAAATTAATGGTATTTTGGGTAAAAATTACCAAAAAGAATGAAAAATTTTGCCTGTTGATGTCCCATTTTTCATTTTTTCCCCCAATTCATCTACAATCATCTCCCCGCCCACACGGGGGGGTGTAATTCTGAAAAATATACACCCCTGATTTTTTTCATTTTCCGAAACTTAACAGGATTGAAAATTAAATTAAATGTGATAAAGTTTCAATTGTCAATTCTTTTTGGGACACCCTTTTTTCTTCCAATTTATATTTACAGGGTGGCAGACTTTCCAAATATGAAGAAATCCAAGATCAAGGGAGAAATGATAGACGTTGATCTAGGGAAAAAGAATATGAATTTGAAGATATATGTTTCTTAAACCGTATATTTCATGTTCTTGTGTTTAAATGTATGATGTTTAGAAGGATAATCATCATGGATCGACCTTACAATCAATCTGCGATTAAAAAAAATTAAAACGAAAACAAAAACGATTCCTAAGTTAGAAACGGTTTTACATGCTAACGATTATAAACTGTTTCTTAAAGAACATGTCTTCGTAATTGGAAGTGACATTCTTACTGAAATGAAGTGAGGAGCATGTCCGATTTACAAGGGTACCCTTGAAATCTTTATCAGGTCAAATGTGTGGAAGATAACGTCGTTTTTCTGGTTGGAAAAGCGTTAAGTTCTGAAAATTTCTTAATTTTTTCTTAAAAGCAAAAAATGCGCTTAACACTTTGCAGAGAAATCGCAAGCGAAAATAAACAGTTTTCATAATAAAACATTGATCATTGGATTTCTATTTTAACCTTGATCTTCCAAAACTTTGAAGGGTACGGTTGTGAATCAATACTGACACTCAAGGGCTGGAGGGTCATTTGCAATAACGCTAAAAGTATTATTATTTAAGTTATTTTTGGCACTGTAAATGATTTATCTTCTATTTAAAATACACAAAATATCCCAACTTTTGTGGATAAGCCAAGGAAGCCGATTAAAAAATATCTAGTTTAGAGGGGTTTAAACTTAATTATACATTTCTATCAAAGCAAAAAATCAATGTTTGTTTAATTTTGGGAGGCGGATAAGTTAATAGAGAAAGAGGGAAAATACTGAAATTAAAATTTTATTTTTTTATTTTTTGTCAATTACTCGATTTTTCCATTTTTCAAACAAAAAGCTAATATTGCATAGAAACATTTGTTTGGGGAATAAAAATTAAATGGCAGTTTTTCACCTTTGTTTGTACAAATTATAAAACCCGTTTTTTTCCTCCAGAAGAATCCTTAGTTTCATGTAAGGTAAAATGTTCTAAAATTCCCGCTGATCAACCAAAAAAGTTGTTGAAGAAGCCCAGGGGGGATTATTTTACAATAAATACATACCCTTGAAAAAAAATGGCGGATGATATTAATTTACATTTATCATTTATACTTAAAAAACCAAAGCTTGGGTTCAAAACTTTTGTGTGGAGTGGACTATCTTTAATCTTGAACGCATGATCTCGATATTCAATGTGTGGGCACTTTAAGCTTGAGAATCATAATTGATCCCTACATTCTAGTTATCCCTTCTTGGCATGACCATCACGGGATATTTAAGAGGAATTTAGTTAATCCGTAAGTCTGAATCATTGTATAAAATGAGAAGATCAATGCTTGATTCCGAGATTGACAAAACAAAGTTTTGAACTCGTTCAGTAAAAAGGGGAAAATTCGATTTTTTAGAAATACTTTTTACCAAAAATTTAAATTATTAATTTCTCTCAATTTAAAAATGATTCCTTAAATTCTCAACAAAACTGAACGATAATCCTCTCATCTAAAATAAGGAATTTTAGAACTTTTTCTAAAATTTGATAAAAACTAAAATCCAATTTTTGTTCTTTTTCAACCAGTCCGAGGATCCACATTTCCGAAGACCAAGGTAAAATTATTTTAGCTGAATCTACAATACTTATTTTAAAGGTTAAAAAATGTCTTGTGATGTATTGGCAATACCGGAATCACAACAGTACCCTTAAAACCAGTGCTTAGGATCCGGATCCGTTGGATCCGCAAGATTTTGGTTTTCTGGATCCGGATCCAAGGGGTAAAATATCAATAAAAAACTGCAAAAAAAAACTTTTTACTCCTAAAACCCAAATCTGAACTTTTGAAAAAAAAGAGAGATTATTAAAAATTTCCTCATTTCTGAATGGTTTTAGGATAAAAATAAGCGAAAAAAATGAAACAAAAAATTTGAAAATTATATTTTGTTAAAAAAATTGAGTAAATCTTAAAGAAATGACCTGGATCCGGATCCGGATTCATTTTTTTCCAGTGAGGATCCAGGATCCGGATCCGCATCAAAATTAAATGGATCCTAAGCACTGTTAAACCTTATTTATTTAACAATGTGGATTTAAATGAAAATGTGGAAGAAATCGTCTTTTTTTTCTAGGTTAGTATTTAATTCTGATATTTTATATGTTTTTCTATGGTAGAAATGTGCACAATAAATTTTGTAGAGAAACCACAATTAAAAATAATAATTTTTCATGATTATTAACATTGATATCTCATTCATACTTGAACAGACAAGGGTTTTAAGGGTACCCTTGTGAATCGGATTTAGTAAATAATCTTTCCTAGTTATTTTTGGATGGAAAATCATCAAACATTAATTTTGATTTTGTTAAGACTCGGCGGGACGTTATACCTATTCTTCTACGCTCCTTGATCCATCTTCTCTTCTTCCCTCTGCAGTACACTTGGTGGATAAAGAAAACAAACAAACTTGTGTACATGGCAGGAAAAACAATTTAAACAATTTTCAAGATGATTTTTAAACTTTCTTTGCTGACTTTTTTTCAGTTTAATAATTTTTTAAAGAATGTTCAAAGTATATTTAAAATTTATTAAATTTCTCAAGATCCCTCCAAGCCCCGATTATTTGGGGGAATATAAAGAATAAACATTTTTTTAAGCAAAATATTTAAACCACTTATTTTTCAGCAAANAAATAAAATTTTTTATTCAACTTGGATGATTGTTATTGTTTATTTGTCAAGGCCTTCATATTTACATTTCAAGCTTGTTCAATATTCTGCACCATTTCTACTTAACCAGGTAGAGATTTTTCTTCAATTTTTGCTTAAATATTTACAATTACTAGGTTTACAGGTCGCTTCGCGCCCATTTTCTATTTGAATTAGGAATATTTTTTCTTTGTATACATTGTAAAACAAAAACTAAAGAATGTTCGTGAATTTATAAAAGAATTTCATGGGTTTTAAAAATTATCATAATGACAATTGAATTTTGTTGGAGGCAAATTTTTGAAACTTTTATCATCTATAAGACATGTGAAGTCCCACACAAAATTTTGGGCCGATTAGTTCTGCCGTTTTGACGTTTATTGGACACAAAAAAAAACAGACCAGCAAAGCATATACAATTTATAACTTTAATTTATTTTATATAAAGAAATTCTCCATCTTCTAGATATTTTATTACCTTTATGGTTTACTGATTCATCTGCATTCTGTATTCTGCAAGCCTTTCATATTTTATTGAAATAAAAGCAAAATAATTCGGTATTTTTCATGCGGATTTTTTTTTATATATGACACGTGAATGTGGCTTGCAAATTGTGTATTGAACCTCTATCTGGGCTGACTTTTTAAGTGAAAACTCCAGGCAAAGCTGGGTTCTAAAGCTAGTTTTTAATATCTATTAAATAAAGCTCTTTGCTAACATATATATATATATATATGTTAGGTATAGCTGGCCAAACGCCTCCAGGCTAAATTGGCTGAATTGAGGGTCCCTAGGGGGTAACATAGGCTAAAAAATTCTTTTTTTTCCTCAAATTGATTTTTAAAAATCGAAAATCTTTTTTTATCAAATTCGAATTTTTTTATTTATTTCACGGGCAATGCCGATCACTTCATC